CAACTCTAGGGGGCAGTGCTCATCTCCATTTCAAAGCTGAAGAGCCAGTGCTGTCCAAAGATGTCTCTGTGGTCATGTGGCTTGACTAAACACTGAAGGCGCATGGAACGCTGTTACCTTTCCACCAAAGGTGGTTCCTATTTTTCTACTTGCATTTTTACATGCTTTCGAACTGCTAGGTTGGCAGAAGCTGGGACAAGCAACGGGAGCTCACTCCATTATGCAGCGCTAGGGATTCGAACCGCCAAACTGCCGACCCTCTGATCGACAAGCTCAGCATCTTAGCCACTCAGCCATCGCATCCCTCAAATGTATGTCTGGAAGGGAGCAAAATGCCGCACAGGAAAAAAAGAAAAAAAGAAGAAGAAAGATCCTAATTAGATTAGGAGCAATTCCACTCACATATAACCTGTTTCCTGCTCAAGGCTTCCTTCCTGAGAGGTGAAAGATCTGTTTCTCGGTATGTCTGAACTTTTCCTACTTCTCCATAGGAGTCCAATGTATCCCATGTGAGGTTACAACATATGTTAAGGATTGTCATTACAGAGAATGACTGGCTAGAATTTATCTCTTGCCACTAGCAGTTTCTCAACCTTGACAACTTTAAGACCGGGGGACTTCAACTCCCAGAATTCCCCAGCCAGTCCCACCCGCCCTGGCTCTATGCCGTCTTATTTAGGCATCTTTTTGAGACCAGGCGCATGCACGGAAGGGGCGCCTGCGAAGTGGGCATGCACAAAGCAAGCAGGCGCGCGGCCAACCGGTGATAACAAAATGTGAAACCCACCGCTGAAGATGATCGTATAACCCCGGGACCCATCAATGATCATAAATATGAATCAGTTGCCAAGCATTTGAATTTTGATCACATCTCTGTTAGGATGCTGCAACAGTCATAAGTGTGAAAAATGATCACAGGTCACCGTTGTAACTTTGAGCGGTCACTAAACCAATGGTTATAAGTCAAGGACTACCTGTATTTAAGTGGAATCTCCATGCTTGGGAAGTCTACCCACCCGTGAGAATTAGCAGCTTAACACTAACAATGGGGTTGTGAAGGATAATGACTGCTACTGTATTTCCCCCCAAAATAACATTGGATCTTATATTCATTTTTGCTCCAAAAGATGCATTAGGGCTTATTTTCCGGTTAGGGCTTATTTTGGGGGGAATATATTACTAAATGTGTCAGTCTGGCTGATGATCTTAACTGGGACATATTTTGGGGGTAGGGCTTATATTACAAGCATCCTGAAAAAATTATCCGGTTAGGTCTTATTTCCGGGAAAATATGGTANAGATGAAGAGCGAGAGGAGGAATTCTGGGAGTTGAAGTCCACAAGTCTTAAAGCTGTCAAGTTTGAACACTCCTGGGTTTTTTTTTTCCTAAAGGGTTAGGGGTGCGAGGGTCTTGTGACTTGACAGCTTTAAGACTTGCACGCTTTAATGCCAGAGTTTCTGAGCCAACATTTTGGTTGCTAAGTGTTTCACCACATTTTACAAGTTAGCCACACCCACCCAGTCACATGGCCAGCAAGCCACTCCCACCTGGTCACATGGCCAGCAAGCCACTCCCACAAAGCAGGACACACCTACAGAAGAGGTTCTAAAAATTTTTGAAACCTTACACTGCCTAAAGTTGACCAAACTGTGGCCATTTTCTCCTTGTAGCTTTTTTCCTCTATGATTTCTCTTCGCATCGCTTCAGGGCTGACACAGCCTGGAGCTAAGGAGTGAGGGAGGTGGGTGTAGAGATAGCTGGTTTTTTTTAGCCTAAACAAAATTATTTCCCCTGGGAATCAAGGACGTTGTTGCAGGTATTCGAAAGGTGGAGACTGAGGTCACCTAGCAACTGGACTACATGCCGATTGGACCACGTGACTGGAAACTCTGGAGGGGGAGTGACAAAGTTTTAATTGGGTGTAAAACCGTCGGGAACCTAAGATCTGGTTTTCCACCAAGTCTGTGCCAATTTGATATGTCCCAATAAAATGTTCTTGGAGGAATATGCCTTATTGAAGGGGATGTATTACTTGGAAACTTGGCAGTACCGTTGTAACTTCAGACTGTGGCTAAACAAATGGTTGTTAAGTCAAGGAGTACCTGTACTAACTTGAGGACTACCTGTGAGTCTCCAAGGGCCCAAATTTGGACCACGTGTCCATGTGGATGCGGCCCCACCACGCTGCAGCTCCCGATGACTCCGGCTGATGGTTGCCCTGTACAGGATAAATTTCGCACCCTGTTAAGGAGGCTCACCTTCCATTCTGAACTGTCCTCAACCCGGTACTGGATCTGGTATTTGGCTTGGAAGAGAAAATCCTTCAAGGCGGGAGGCGCGCTCCACCTCACGCTGAGCTGGTCCTCCAGGTCTCCCACTCGGCTCACGTGGACATCCGAGGGTGGATCGGTTGTGACTGTCAAGCAGGGGACAAGTCAGGACTTAAAATCAAGATTAAGACTTAAAAGGGACTGTGTCAACACTCAGTGTTGTCATGGGGACAGAATGAGGGGGAGTGCATTCCACGCATACTGTTCGGCTGGAGTCGGATCTCAGATTACTGCAGCCGGTTTGGGAGGGGTGCAACTATAGGGTAATGTGATTTATGACACAGAACTGAGGGGAGGGAAGGAAGAGGGGTAAAGTTCAGAAGTAAATCAAACAAAGCACAGGCTTGACTGCCAACAGATATTCCCTAATGGCGCTCCTAATAAATCACTGGTTTTGTATCGAAAACTTGACTCGATAGTTATGAACCAATTAGGGCATCTTTAGGAAATCCGAGAGACTGGAGGCAAGCACAGCAAAATGCATCTTTCAGGCATGCTAGTTATCTCCTATTTAGGTTGCCTCCTGTCAACAGAGCAAACTCCAGGAATCAGTAAAAATAAAAATAAAAACCATAGAAAATCGTAGTCCTATGACCCTGGGACTCTGTGGACATATGCAAAGGTGAGAAAGTTGCTAGGCACCCAAAATGTCATTGCATGATTACAGGATGTGTGTGTGTGTGTGTGTATCGTGTGTATGTGTATCATAGCTTCGAACTCAGGTCCTAAGTACAGCTAGTCCTTGACTTATGACCACAGTTGAGCCCAACATTTCTGTTAATAAGTGAAACGGTGAAGTGAATTCTGCCCCATTTTGCAACTTTCCTTGCCACAGTTGTTAAGTGAATCACCACAGTTGTTAAGTTAAGCAACATGAATCTGGCTTCCCCATTGATTTTGTTTCTCAGAAGGTTGCAAAAGGGGATCACATGGTCCTGGGACATTGCAGCCGCCATAAATACAGTAGTTGCCAGCTGCCAAATTCTGAATTTTAATCACATCATCATAGAGATGGTGCAAAGGTTGTAACTCTGGAGAACGGTCGTTAAGTCGCTTTTTTTTCAGTGCAGTTGTAACTTTGAACAGTCACTAAATGAACTGTTGTGAAGTCGAGGACTATCTTTCCCTTTTGGGGGGGATCCATCGTAACTTTGAACAGTCACTAAGCAACTGGTCGTTAAATGAGGAGCACCATTATTAAGGGAAAAGGCTCTGCTGAGGATGGGTTCGTAGCAAAGCAGTGCCGACTGCAGACAGCCCCGCCTTGCTGCAACATTTTATTTACAGGGATCCACTTGTTCCTAGTGGAATATTTCATCGGGAAGTTGGGAACCACCTGTTCCGACCTAGGCTTCCCCAAAAAGCACGAGGCAGATTCCTGGTCCCGACAAAACCCCTTTTATTAAACAAATGTGAATTCCTCTCATTCACATTCAGCCAAGTGCCTATAAACAGTCTTTCAAAGGAATATTGATGACCACAGGTTTGAACGTTTGGAGGGCCCAATTGAAAGGGAAAGGGTTAAAAAACAGCAAATGTATGTCTAAGGTAAAGGTAAAGCTTTCCCACGTGTGTGCTAGTCGTTCTCAACTGTAGGGGGCGGTGCTCATCTCCGTTTCAAAGCCAAAGAGCCAGCGCTGTCCGAAGATGTCTCCGTGGTCATGTGGCCAGCATGACTAAACGCCGAAGGCTCACGGAACGCTGTTACCTTCCCACCAAAGGTGGTTCCTATTTTTTTCATGCTTTTGAACTGCTAAGTTGGCAGAAACTAGGACA